GTGTGGAAAGCCAAGTACAGACCCAACCAGAGGACTCTCTCCACCCGGGCCTTGTGTGTGTTATCGGACTCGATCGATCGACCGTCATCCTCAGTCTGTCCGTCGAACCATTCAGAAACAAAGTAAAATTGAGCCCAGATGAGACCGCGCATCAAAAAGTCCTCTGACAAAGGCTTCATGTCCTCCTTGCGCTCTGGCACAGGGAAAGCCCGCTGCCGAGCGCATTCGAGGATCCAGGCACTGATGGGTTGGGACCGAACGAGGGTATTCAGGAACTCCGCAAGCGCATCCCACGCGAGGCGCCCAACGTTGAGCGCATCAATCGCATGGTTTTCAGTCTGATCAATGGAAAGCCCGGTCCGGAGGGAGTCCAACGAGTGAAGGCTGACCAGCATCACATGAACGTATGGGAGAATGTCCTCTACAGAAGTGTAATTCTTCAAAGCCAAAGCGAATGTGTTTTCCCAGAATGAAGTTGTCGAAACGAGTGATGGAGTTGGTGATCCGTTTGTCAGAGCGGGCTGAAATTGGGATTCGAGGTCGGCAAGGCCACCGGGTGTCATCGAGGGTCGGGAGTATTGCATTGCTCGACTGATGGCCATGGCGTATTGTTGGTAGAGGACGTTTGTAGGCGATCCTAGTTCAAAGATAGCAGCAATGTTCGTAACAGCCAAGTAAGCGCCGATGTCTCGCAGTCGAGGTAGTTGTTGGTTGAGAAGCTGGAGGGCATCATTTCCAACAGTGTCGATCAATTTCTGTTCGGCTTTGGAATAGACCAAAGCATGGTAGGTCACGATTCGGGCTTCGACGGAATGACTGCTGCTTTGAATCGTGTTTTCGTCTTGTACGATGGGACCGCACAATGTCGAAAGTGAGTCTCGCGCATTAGGAAACGGTATCACACAGCTCAGTGACTTGGCATAAAGACAAAACTTTCGCAAGCTGGGTCGCTCAAGTATGCCTAAATGGTGGTAGAGCCTGCCAATAGCAGGATGGAGGTCGGACGCCATGGTGTACCAGCGAGCGGCCACACCTGGAAGGGGTCAGTCGTGATCTTCAAGATGAGAGGAGATGTGCACTCACCCCCCCACGTGGCATGAACTTCCTTTTCTTCCTCAATGGCCATACGATAGCGTGCAAGGTCTCCCAAACATTCTATCCAGGTATCAGTGAATGTCGGCACCGTCTCAAGTAGCAGAGCCATCATCTGATACGCCAGATAGATGAATGCTACCATGTAGTCCTGTGAGTGTGGACGACGATGTCTAAGCACTTCTAAAAATTTGTGTATGCCGTGCTTCCACATTCTCGCGGGGATGCTATACTTCGTGGGCAGGCCACGAAGAGCCTGTGTAGCTGACGGATGTTGGGTTGCCTATGTCATGATCAGCGATGTTCAACGATGTGGAAGGATCTGAACCCTACCATGAGGAAGTCATGGTGCTCGTAAAGAAGAGTTCGATGCAGTGCTATCAAGGCTTGCCACTGTTCTGGACCAAGTTGCGAGTTTGG